GCCCCTGTGCATAATAAAATAATAACCAGGAATCTAAATTAGGCCTGTGTGATGATGGCCAATGCATCTTCATACTCTCCAGCATACTGTGCTTCTAAAATTAAAGATAACATTTTTCTAGTAATTAAAATGTCAATAATTAAATATAAGCAATTAAAATAAGCTAATAATTATTACAAATATGTAAGTAAAATGCTGCATTATTAAAAAAAAATTAAATTATGTATCAGACAGGCTATTTTTTGATTCCGATTGGTCAATGGCATTCCGTTTAAATTAAGTAGCCTACTCAAAATGGTACTTATATTTGTGTCTTTACCATCTCATGTAGAAATGGTTGTATAAATGCAATAAATCATTTGTGGCCATGCTGCATTGTGGTTATTTTCAGGATTATAAACTTTACTAAGACTGTGTGTCTCAAACAGCACCCTTTGACTTTATCCACAATCTAACATGACCTCAAGTGCCTTATTGCTGAAATCATGCACAAGTGGTATAAATATAGTAACTGAGATACATAGTCTCCAAAACAGATTTGCTAAAGTGATCTGACGTCTGATAAAAAAAAGTTAAAAAACACAATATGTCCAAATTGCTGTTTTGCCAAACTATTATTGCTGTGACTCTGAATCAGAACTGTCCTTAATAGACATGAAGAAAGAATAAAGAAAACAAAGAACTGTGGTACTGAAACAAATGAACTGATATGTGATATTAGCCCTATATGAGAAGGCATCATGGGAATTCTAGTATGACTGAGTCGCTAACATGGCTAACTGCTGCCCTCTTCTGTTTGTTGTTAGGAAATATTTACAAAATCAAATCCTGTCATTTACTCATCCTGCCAAGGCAACGTATCTAATTTTCATTGAGTTTTAACCGATGTTCTTTGAGTTGTCATACTTCTAGCACAGATTAATCTTGCTCAATGAATCTGGCTCCGCCCTCATAAAAGCAGAAAGATTACATTTTCAATGAGAAAGATGACAGTCGGCGCACTTTTTGTAGATCTGTCTCATCTGATAATAATTCACATATTTACATTATAACCTGAAATCCATAACCTCAGGCAAATGGGGAAATCCGCTTTTTTTCCACCTACAACTTTGATGGCCTGAGGTTGAGTAAATTGACAGCAAATTTAAATTTTTGGCTGAACAGGCTATCCCTTAATGAATACAGCACTGGGCTAACAACAGACGTTTTTGAATTATGAATGAATAATATACAAAACACAATTAACAAACAACAAACTACACAGTCACCAAGTCTTATAATTTGTATAAAAAAAAACTTTACAGTAACTTATCTAGTAAACTTGGCAAAACTCCAGGATAATGGACCGTTTTTGTTCAAGCTACAAATAGTCGCAGCCGCTCAAAAATAAGGTGGATAGAAAATATGAGGTACATTATCATTATACAACTAATATGAAATAATATCCCTGCTGAAATAATAATAATAATCAGAAGAAGGAGAATCTGTAATGGTTTTACTGGTTATAATGGGAATTGTATTGGTTTGAATGGAAACTGTAATGGTCCCTCTGGGTCTCTACTGGCCCTCTGTTGGTGACCTGTTAAAACCATTTAAATCCTAATGAAAAATGTCCCAAAAACACATAATTTTAAAATAGTTTTAATGGTTAATAGTTGATGGTTTGTAATGTTCATAATGGTATTTGTAGTGGAAACCATTAGAATTTCTGTGATTGTTTCTATTGATTTTTTCCCCAGCAGGGATGGCCTAAATATTTAGAGTACAAGCAAAACATTTAACATGAAGCATATCATGCATTAAACATCTGATTCATTGAGAAAACCTCGTGGAATTATTTGATATAAGAGTCAAAATTGTTTTTAATAATTCATAAACACAATATAACAATATAATGGCTGACTAATATAATAATTTTAATATTTAGCTATTCCTTTATTAACATGTGACATTTTTGTATTATTATATGAAATGTTATATATATGCAATTAGAGATTGTTTTTGAATAACTATAATTATTATTATTAAATGATAATTTAGCAGTTGTTTCTAGCTTTCTTCAGGTGGTGTTGGTGGGACCCCTTCTAAAAATGTACGGAAGTGATCATCTGTGTTAAGTTCTGGGTGTTTGACTAACAGTTGGCATTTAGGGAAAAAATAGGCTGCTACCAACCCTATATTACTAAGTAAACTGATTCCTACTTGAGCAATAGACTTATCTTTATCATTTAGACTTGTGTAGATGGGAATGAACATCACCCACATTACACAGTAACTCAAGGAGGAGATGGTGATGTCTCTGGCCAGGTTGTATTGTCCAGGCGGCTTGAGAGCCATGAAGGTGGCCATGAATGACACCAGTGCCAGCATAACATTGAAACCAAGCATCAAGCCGAAGTTTAACATGGGCTCCACTGGACAACGCAAAAAGGTTTTCACGTAGGTCACCTCCAAACTGGCGACGTATTTGGTCAGAGAGGGAGCCTCTTGGGCGTACCAACCACACAGTCCTGCTTGGACCCCGCAACATCCCAGAATCACAAACAAGCTTCCCCGTCCTCGTATATTCTCCAGCTGATCAGAAGACTTTTCAGGGAATTCTGTGATGCACACAATCTGGTAAATAAAAGACGACAGTGTATATAATAATTGAATTAAAAAATGCGAACGTTTCGTTTTTATTAAAAACCTCACGCTTTCTTGTCTAAATGCAGTGGTTAAGTTTGGTTTTATTTCAGGACTCAATAGTGACAGTACCACAGCTATTTATCATAAACAAGTAAAATTGAAGCAAAGTGAAATTGTATTCATATTTCAAAAGTATCTTCTTAAATTATTTGGTTACACTTTATTTTAAGGTCTCTAGTGCAGCCTAATTATATAAGTCCTGAGTAATATTAATTAACAACATATAGCCTACTTACTGTACTGTGCTCTGCGCATGACATGCAGAAAAAATATGCATATATCATGGCCACGAATGAAGAGTTTGTTCCCACGATATGTTTATACGTGGCCACGACTTATCAGTTCGCTCCCTGGTTTCATGGATGGTAAAGGTTCTTTGTGGAACCACTGATGCCAATAAAGAACCTTTATTTTTAAGAGTGCAGATTTCCTTATTTGCTCCAGGCGATCTGACCAATCATAACGCCGAACCCACCATCTTCCCCGACAAACAAATGACACTTTGTCTTCATAATGTTTGATTGTAAAAAAAAATAGCATTTAACATGCATTGATGCTTTTTTTTAGGATCACCTGAAGGGAAATGGTAAGAATGACTGAAAGGGCCACGGTGGGAAAAAAGGCATTCAGTGGATAAATCTGGGCCACGATTTACTAATGTGTTCCCTCATTTTGATTTCACTAAAACCAGGGAACACATTAGTAAATCGTGGCCCAGATTTACCAATGAGGGAGCAAATAAGGAAATCTGCACTCTTAAAAATAAAGGTTCTTTATTGGCATCAATGGTTCCACAGACATTGGCACCTGTTACAAAGACCATTTGTCAAGATGTGCTTGCTCTTGGATGCACCAGACACAAGTTTGGACACATCTATTTATTCTCTATTATTAGTATTTGACATATTTTAACTAATTTTAAGCCATTTTAGTTCATGCAAAAAAGAAAATTCTGTCATCGTTTACTCACCTTCACATTGTTCCAAACCTGTATGAGTTTCTATCTTTTGTTGAGTACAAAAGAAGATATTGATGGTAAACAGTTGGTGGTAGTCCTTGACTTCCATAGTATAAAAAAATACTATGACTACCATCAACTACTTTGTTAAAATCTTATTTTGTGTTCAGCAGGAGGATTTCATACAGGTTTAAAATAGCATGAGGGTGAGTAAATTATGTCAGAATTAACATTTTTGGGTGAACTATCCCTTTAAAGGCTTATTAAGATCATGATAAACTGTGTCAAAACTAATGGCTGGTAGTAAAACAAGGTATTCAAATTAAAATACAAGCATTTCAAGTGCAAATAGTGTTAATATTCCATTCATACCTTGCCGTTTTTTGTGTGCCATGTTATGTTGTTTTCATTAATCGTGAGGTTCTGATAAAAGTATCCAATTACGTCGAAGAGCACAGTGGTGTCATTAAAGTTCCATTGCATAACATCATAGCCAAAACTTGGATTACCCTCTTTATCAAACTTAAAATTGACCCCTTCAAGATCTACAGAAACTTTTTGGAGACTCCGTAACAGCTGTGGAAAGGATCATATATTGTTCTATTAGTACACTCTTAACCTTCTAGGATAAAACAAGCAGATTTACAGAAATAATAGCTTGCGTGTGGTTACCTGCCATGGATAAACATTGTCAGTCTTGGGATTAAGAGCGCAGTGGGTGGCATTGCATCCAAGCAAGTCATGCAGCGCATGTGCCACACAGTAGACGGCAGTATACACGCTGAAAACTGACCGCTGCACGAGTTTTATCTCTACCATGCTCACGTTGGCTTGGCTTAGGTAGCTGCATCTTGTGCAAGGGTTGTCCAGAGGAGAGATTTCTGTATCTGGCTGCTGAGGGATTTGCGTCCCTTCCATTTTGGTGAAGAGCTCACGGATATAAGGAGTGAAGAGGTCAAGAGGTCTGGTGATGTCTGCAAACGCCAGCACTGTTCCTATTGAATTGATCCCAGGCAGGGTGGATACAAGTTCGTTTAGAGCCCATGCTGTGCTTGCCACCCAAACGCCTGTCATGTTTCGTTTGATTACCTGATCAGGTAGTGATCATAAAGCATTTAGAATCAGCAAAACCTGTAGACTTATCATGAATATAAGGCAGTGAACGAAAAAACAGAGGAACATTAATTACATATTAATATTTTCCCCTTATGATGTCAGCTATGATCCTTAAATTTTGCATTCCACTGTGCTGCTTTTCAATTGACCTATTGGTAAGCCCCTCCCCTTGAATGCTGATGAGCCAATGGCAGTTGAGTATCAGTTGCACAGGGACCAGAACTCGGACATCTTTAGGTTTCAGTACCATAGAGAAACATTGGACGATTCAAAGCTTTCATCGGTTTGATGGTGTTTCTGCTACAAAAATGGTAAAACGATGTGCCTGGGGTACTTGTGACACCGATTCCAAGTATCCGGAGAGGATGGGCAATGGAATAAATTTTATTCCATTTCCTAAACCCAACCAAAACAGAGCAAAATGTCTATGCATTCAACCCCAATCCCACTGAAGATGAAAGCGTTCATTTTCTGGTTGTCATACTCTCATTAAGTTACAATTTTCATCTCAACCAGAACGTTAATGTCATGTGCGTCAGCAAGGTATCTCTGGCTAAAACTAGCTAACAATAAAGTTAGTGAGTCCATGCTAATGTCCAAACCTAAATAGCGAACTGTTCTCACGTCAGGTACAGTGTAGGTCAAAACACATAAACGAAGGTCTACATTTCAGTATCTCTCCAAATTAAACTGGCTAAATGTAAATTAATTTAATCTTACACTGCGGTACATGAACAGTGTTGATCCTGGATGTTGTCATTGCGATCGTGACGATCGTAACATGAGGCTTCTCTCGTCTGCATTGTGATCTGTATTTTTGCATATTTATTTTAAAATCTTTTATATATCCCTCTATGGCATATTTAAAGGGATAGTTCACCCAAAAAAGAAAATTCTGTCATTAATTACTCACCCTCATGTCGTTCCAAACCTGTAAGACCTTCGTTCATCTTTGGAACACAAATTAAGATATTTTTGATGAAATCTGAGAGATTTCTGACCTGCATAGACAGCAAGGATATTACCACGATCAATGCACAGAAACGAAACAAGGGGATCGTTAAAATAATCTATTTGACATCAGTGGTTCAACTGTAATTTTGCTATTACTAGAATACTACTACTCGAACAAAAAGAAACTTTATTCAACAATTAGTCTCCTCCGTGTCACACAAGGTATGCAATGCATGTACGCGGATACGCTGTTTACGTTGTTTATGCTTTGATTTGAACGGAAACAACGTATCTGCGTACATACATTGTTTACGTATGTGATACTCTCCAAAATGGCGCTATAGGGCGACGCGGAGGAGACGAATTTTTGAATAAAGTCGTTATTTTTGTTTTCTTTGCATACAAAAATTATTCTCGTAGCTTCGTAAAATTGCGGTTGAACCACTGATGTCACATGGATTATTTTAATAAAGTCCTTGTTACGTTTCTGAGCCTTGATCGTGTTAGGATCCTTGCTGTCTATGGGAGGGGCAGAAATCTCTTGGTTTATATAAAAAATAATTAATTAACAGTAATTAATGGCAGAATTTTCATTTTTGGGTGAACTATCCCTTTAAGTCATACTTGAATTATGGTCCTTCTGTGTCTAAAATTTATTAAAAACATCTTGGGACAAGTAAGACAGCAACTCTGTTTGTTTGTCTGAGTGAGCGACAGTAACTAAGGGGGGCGGGGCTTACCGATAGGTCAATTGTTTTTCTATGTAAGCATGCGCTAACTGGACGTCTTTGAACGAAAAATAACTGTTCTTAATCATGTTTCAAAACCTTGCATTTTTTCCCATTCATAAACCAAAAATACATTCTGTTTGAATACCCTGTTGAAATGAATTGGTCATGAGCTGGTTTAAGCTGGTCCTGAGCAGGAGCTAGTTGCTTTGGATCATCTTAGGACCAGCACATGACCAGCTTAAACCAGCTCATGACCATCTTATAAGCAGCTCATGACTAACTATGGACCAGCTTAAACCAGCTCAAACCAGCTGCCATGCTTCAGAACATACCTAACCAGCATATGCTGTTTTTTTCAACAGGGCAGCTACTAAATGTATATGTAAAGTCCAACAGGACAAATCATTTGGCATAAGTGCAAACAAAATTCGTTGTGCAAAGTGTCAATTTTAATGTAAGTGCCTTTGTTCATGGTTGTAGATTAGGCAAGCAATGTGTCTTTAGTTTTTCTTGAAAGTTGTAATGGTCTCAGATTGGCTAGAGGTTGGCAGCTCAGTCCACCAAAGAGGAAAATAAACTTTGTACCTCTTTGTGAAGGGATTGAAATAACAAAGCCTTCATTAAATTGTGACCAGCAGTTGTTACTGGGTGTCATGTTATTGTATTTGGGAATCCATCAATTTGGGAACAAGGCACTTTTGCAGCGTCCAAATGAATGATCTTATTCATTAGGTCAAAAGTTTACAGTTTTGAGTCTACAGCATAATTTCATAGTATTGCAGACTAATACTGATCATAGTATGACCCATAAAGTTGCATTCAAACTGTTCACCTCTATGAAGAAGTTTCTGGCCGGATTGGAGAGAGAGAAGACCACCACCACTCCCACTTTGGCGTCCACAATGCGATTGAGAATCTCGTTCACCGCTTGCACAGGATCACTGTATACAGGAATCAAACCCTGATATGCCACACAGATGGACTCCTCATTGGCCATACTGGAGAACTGCTGCTGACCCTTCTGTCCGTATTCATCGTCACTACCTACTACTGACACCCAGTTCCAGCCAAACTGTTTCAGAAGCTGCACTATGGCCACTACCTGCCAGCGATCACTAGGGACTGTGCGCATGAAGGACGGGAAGGTCTCTTTGTCGCTGAACATGTCGCTGGTGGCACCATAGCTAATCTAAAAATGCACAATTAGACATAAATTCAAAAACAGGAGGAACATCGCAGATTAAAGGCTGGAATACACTACATGATTTTTGCCCTGATTTTCTGTCTAGAGAAGTTGAAGCTAGTTGCCGAAAGTCAGAGCCAGTCTGCAGATTTGAGTTGACAGATTTCATAGAAAATTGCGTAGTGTATGATGGTCACAGATTCTGATTTCTTTTGCTTCAAGACTTTGATTCCATCCAGTCGGAGGAGAACAAACATGTTTGATATTTTGTGCCGATTTTAGAACACATTGTTTTCATTTGTCACGTGAAACAAGGTGCGGGTTTCTGCGTCTTGCCCAGTATTTTAAGATCTGTTCAGTTTTTAAAAGTCGTGTAGTGTATTCCAGCCTTAATAGTCCTTGCACACTGAGTCCGAAATTTTCGAATGCGTTTTTTCGTATTCGTCATCCTTTCCTATCAAAATGCTTGCTACGGATGCGAAAATGCAGAAAATCGAACTTGATCTGATTTTTTTTTTATGACGGACGAAAGTTTCGGAGGCAGTGTGTAAACGTGATTGACACGATGTGAGGTCGTATTTATTTTTTAATGTGTGAAAATGTTTTAATGTGCGCAAAAACCTTAAGTGTGATATTACTAGTTAAGAGACCAATCAGTCATATTATTGCATATATTTGCTAAAAGAATTTAAGTAAAATATTAAAACAAACATTCATTTTTAAAGTATTTTGCTTAAAATTTCAACACTATATTAGGGAAAAGTGTGTTGCATCCTTTAAATCTAACACTTTCAATGTCAACTCACCAGTGGTATCAAGAAAAACCCAATCAGCTTGCCAATAACTGGGACCAACTCAGAGTTGCTTGGTCCTATGATAGCTATAACACGAGGCTTGTAGTCGGTGTAGTTACAGGTGACATCCAGTTCTTCTGTCGATTCCTTTGTGAGAAGCTGGAGGACGGGCCTCATGACAACGGCTGGTTGCATGCAGGTGTCGTAACTCTCAAATCCCAGCGTGATTCCAGGGAGGAGATTCTCTTTCGAGTTGATCTCGTCCAAAGAGAACTTCATCGCCAATGTGAGGGACAAACCATATGTGCTAATTCTGCCAAAACAGAAGGATAAAAGGATGATTTTAGGAGCAAAGCATTTTCAGATTTTGTAGACTTCCTTCAAGATTTTACCTGTTGCACTCAAGATCGTCTGGCTTCACCCGTTTGCTCAGATCACTGGTCAGTTCATTAATGGGGAAAAGTCCTCCTACCAGAATATCTCCAGGCGATTTAAAAAGATCGGCTGAGATGTTCTTGAACCACGATGGCTTCGCGCTCAATCCCGACCCTAGAATGCCACAGAGCACCAGAAGTGTCCACTCCTTAGCCATCCTGGAGGGCGAATAATCCAGGAAGCGTGAAGAAGCACATCACTATATCATGGAAATTAATAAATGAAAGTGAAATAGCTGCACTGACCTCAGTGGAAGTATTGCTTAGGCTCTTCTTGTTTTGATGTGTTGTGATTGCCTTAGTGGCGAGTGATTATGATGGTTTGACGATCAACCGACAACACGTAAATGAGAGAAACGCCCCACCCCATGCTTTTGTGATCAGCTTTCGTGTCCTTTGCATGTAAATGAAGGGTCTACATCAAGTTTCATTCCGGCTTCACATGGAAATGTTCTGGTCTCTCCTCAACGTTCAAGCACGCTGGGTAAAAACGAGTTCAGTCTGTCCTTGCTATTTTGTTAGTTGTTGGTCTTTCCCACTATTAGTGCAAAGCTGTTTTCCAGCAAAGGTCAGAGGAGTTTTTATGCACTAGGTATAAAGTTATTCTTTTGTACATAAAACATAGGAGTCAAAGAAAATGTGTATTGTTCTTAAACTGGTGTGATTTCTCAAAGAAACACTTTGTGTATCGCAGAACACAAGCACAGAAAAAAGGGTCTGATTCAAAATATTTGTCTGGAAAAACATGAGCGTTGAACAAACACATGCACAATGCATTTGAACAGAAATTGTGGGAATTTCCATAGTTTTTGTTTGTGGCTTTGATTCAAAGTGCTTCATGATGGATGCTGGCCCATGCATGAATGATAGCGAATTAAACATTGAGACGGTGTCATGGCACAAATATGCACAGCAAGAGTATTTATGTAAGTTATTATTATTATTATTTATATATTTATTATTTATTATATAACCCATTTTTTAAAAATGAATGTTTTTAAGATTTATTTCTAAACACCCTTCAGAGATGTAGAATTTATTTTGTGACCTAAGACTTATTAGGATGTTATTGAATATTCCAATATCCATTTGCAAGTTACGTGAAGCCACGTACATACTCTGCTTAATACTGTGGATGCCTAATGGATTTGCATCAGATGTATAATGTCAAAACTGTCGGTCAGATATTTGCATGAAATTTTGACTGTTGTTAAAATTAATTGCAGCCACAGCCACATGTTTACAAGAGCTTTGCATACATGTGGAGCGAGACGTAGCATTTCCCTCTTACATTTTCATTGGTCATAGTTTTTGTCTATATCCTTCTTGTTAATCTCACTCAGATTATTGTGGCTGAATGGATAAAAATCCAGACAATAAACAGATTAAACATTATTAGCACAGTGTAAATACATGAACAGGGCTGACTTCAGCTGTCAAGTGCATTATGAATGACATCAATTAAAAAAAAAAACCTTAATAGGTTTTAATTGCAGCTTGATATGATGTTTTAAAACCTTTCCCAGGTGAAAAAGACGTATTAAATGTATTAAAAATATACTTGAAATTCAAGTAGTATGTTTATAATGCATTTGTATTCCCAACATGCTTATTTGAAGTGCAATAAAAATATATTGAATTGCATTTTAATATATTTCTAAAAAGTATACTAGAAGTACTTTTGTATTAAATATATGCTTAGTTATACTTCTAAGAAATATGCTAAACAGAAAAGCACAATTTAAATATATTTATTTTTCACCTGGGTTTGGATGCATTATTACAGCTGATTTATTCTGACAACCATAATCATATCTCTTATGTCACTAACCAGCAGAGGGCAAAATTATGTTTTAATTAGTAACCAAGGTCTTCCCTAGTAAAAGAGAAAATACTTCATAGTATCTTCCTGGCGATCTTGACGTCAACCGGTAAAGACACACAATTATCTATGCCACTTTTAATCTACCTCAAAGCTTATTGCAACCTTTGATCTTTTACTTTTGCTTTCTCTCTCTTCTTTTAGTTTGCACGTATTGCTTTCTTAATTATTATTATTTTTTTAGAAAAGAGGAGAAGGTCTTTGACTGGAGCACATGATATAAAACAAGTTTCCTCTGCAGATTTTGCCTTTGATGTTCAGATGTGGATGTCACATGTCAGCATAGGGGCTGACATAAGCTACATGTTCGGACAGCCTTCCTCGAGTGCACCGGGTGTGTTTTTGTGTGTGCGTAGGTGGATCTTCCACCTTCACTCTTCCTGTATGTGTAGGTGTGGATGAGCAGGTGTGTGCGTAAGTGTGGGTTTGAGTGAGTTATGACGACGCTGCACATTTGGACTTTGTTTTATGCTCTGAGGCTGCATTAAATATGCAGGTTTAGAGTTGATTCGACAAGCTATATACTCATTGAAAGCAGGATAATATCTTGGCATCTACAGTAGCTACACCGTCTTGGACTGTGGAAATTGTTGAGTGACTTACAGCACACTTAAAATTTACACTTAAAATATCCGTTATACTGATAGCAAAAAAGGGTAACTTTAGTGACACAACAGCTTGCTATTGCAGTAAAAATCTGAAAGGTACACTTTATATACCTCTAAAAGGTGCATACACAGTATTAATTTGCATCATTTAGGAGTAGATAAAGCATGTACATCAGTTTCTTATTGTGGCAATAACCTGAATTGTACACTTTTATACTTCATAAACCACTGAAAGGTGCTTATTAGTACTAATTCACATAATTTATGAGTAGATGAAGCATGTATCACACTTATATGTAAACATAGGAAAGTAAATTTAGTTTGCCAAAACACTTTAGTTTAGTTTGCAAAAAAAAGCACCTTTAAGTGGTACAACAGCTTGTTATTGTGGCAATAATCTGAAAGGTATGCTTTTGTACATCATAGACTACTAAAAGGTGCTTATTAGTACCATTTTGCACAAGCATGTATCTGGCCTCAAACTTCTTTTCAATTGGAAATATGTAAACATAGGAAAGTACATTTTATAGCTCGTCAAAATGTTTTTGCAAAATTTGATACCTTCAGTGATACAACAGCTTGCTACAGTGGCAATAATCTGGAATTCATACTTTTGTACCTTTATATACCACTAAAGGTGCATATTAGTACTAATCTGCATCATTTATGGGTAGACAAAGCATGTGTCTGGTTTCAAACTTCTTTGTAATTGGAAAAACAGCAACTTAGGAAGATACATTTTAGCTTGTCAAAATGTTGTCACAAAAAAATTATTCCTAAAGTGGTAGACTTGTTATTGTGGCAATAATCTGAAAGATATTTGTACCTTAAATACCACTAAAAAGGTGCATATTAGTACTATTTTAAACAAATACTACTTATTTGCAAAATGTAAGGGTAGTTAAAGCATTATCTGGCCTCAGACTTCTTTTCAATAGGAAATACGTCAACACAGGAAAGTAAATTTAGTTTGTCAAACCATTTTCATGCTTGTCATGCTTTTAAGTGCTTTTCTCAACAACGCAATGGTGGTAGATAGTAACCATTTTTTCAGCCAAATTCAAGTTTTCAGCCAAAGTCTTTAATAACAAAGACAAGCACCATGTTTCCTAACACTAGATCTTTTCTGGACTTCATCATTGGCTTTTAAAAAAGTTTCCAACATTGCGAAATCATGCATTTACTGTTGTATGTACTTTGAAGGATTATGTATATTTTGTGCACAAATCATTTAGCCCACTCATAAGCACTGACCTTTCACGTACCATCCTGTACTGCACACTTGTTTCTCCACAGGGAACCACTAGGTGGCAGGACCGTGTCTGCTAAGTGCCAAACAGCATGAGTTGAGGATGCATCTTAGCATGCGTCCTGATGTGCCCTGCTTGCACAATATTCCAGAGTATCATTAACGAAGTGGTTAATGACTGCAACAGCACGCTGTTTCTGTTTGTTCCGATAAACAAACCAAAATGCACAAATAAAGGTTACTGCAAGTTTTTTTATCAGCTAAATAGGCTATATGAACCTAATCTAATTAGGAAAACAAAACAGCGATAGAGCACACGGATCTAGTAATATGCACAGAGAGGGCAAAAGAGACATGCGTGGGTGGAAGCCGATGGCCTCTGGGCCGTACAAGGGTACACAGAGTAGCCAGAGCATGTTTGGACAGCTGATATCATGCGTTGAATGTACCTGCTTTCAGGGAACAGAGATGTGACCGGTTATTAGTCTGCTTGTCCTATCAGCAGATAATTACTCTGTCAACATCATGTGTGTTTGGTTTGTTCGGTGTCTAGTTTACGCCTGAGATTTTACAGCTTGCGTAAGAATGTTCCGCTGCCACTATTGCTCAGGTCTGCAGCTTGTTGTTTTGCGTAGGATTGTATTTTCGGTGAAGAACGGAAGCGTGATGTAACTTTATCCAAAAAGCATCAGTTTGCAAATGTCAGAAAAACTGCACGGTCGCAGTATAGGGTGCGTGAGTGTTTCAGGGAGTGTTGAAAGCTAGTGCTGTGATCTCCCAGAATGCTGTTGTAGCCTGATTCCCTGGGGACTCACTGCTTTGTTCTGCTGGACTTGTTGCAGAACACTGGGCCCGTTGTCAACACTCTGGCTAGATCCACCACAGTCGCTGACAAATTATTAACTAGACTCTCGTTCTCTGCCTTGCTTGATCCTTGCTTTGCTCTTTTCCCCACTTTCTCTGAAAATTCTGCTCCCTCAACATGCTCCTTTGTCTTCTTAACATACGCCTAATAATAAGACAAAAAATTATGCTCTGCAGTATGTTTGCATGTACATAAATACTTTGGCAGATGTTTTTTTTTAGAAGAATGAGTGTCTTGTGTTTGGGAATACTGGTCGAGTGTTTTTCGAGGTTTTGTTTTACCTATGTTACTTGCCATATAAATATATATATACAGTACAACTATTTTTATTGTTTATTATTTTCAGTTTATTAATTGATCAATGAATTTGTTAATCTAGGTTTATGTTAATTTAGAAATATACTTTAGTTCATTCATTCATGATCATTTATAATTACTTATGCTCATTTCAACACCATTGCAAATTGTGAATGTTGAAAAGCTATTAATATATGTAGAAATGAACATTAATAAATTAATTACCATGCTTAATAAATGATGTATTGTTCATTGTTTGATACCTAATACATTACCTAATGTACAAAACTGCTAAAGTGTTACTACCATAGTTCCTATACTTTTACTACTCTGCACATTAAACTGGAATAGAAAAAAAAGTATTTTATATTGAGTGAAATTGCGCACAGCACCTTTAAGGAAAAGTACCAGTATGATTGCAACTGCAGCAATTGCATCACCTGCAGGGATTGAGATAAGATAGCAAATAAGTGCAAATAAGAACGCAGAGTTATTATGATTCTAGGATGAGCAAAATGCTTGTTTAAGAAGGTAAGAGTGGTAAGTTTTGTTTTGACAGTCCAAATGTTACGAGAATTGTTGTTTTTTGTTGTTACGAGCCTGTTAGAGTTTTATATGATGATGTCTGTTTTTATGCAAGTCAGTGCTTTTATCTGAAGTCAATCATTTAATTGGCCGTATGCATTCGGGTATCTGGTATCCTAACCTGTAATAAAAGAAATAGTGTGTGTTTTGTGTTATGAGTGTGTTAATGATGGTTTTAAGCCTGCCACCCGCAGTTAAACACATACGACTCATCCTCGTTTCCTGTTGTCCCCCTTTATCTACACTTGTCCGACCTGTTCTTCTGGTTCCCATGGGCTGTGTGTAACTGTATGCACTTTGTGAATGTGTGTCTGTGTATGACACACACACACACATGCATAGTCATGGGCACAAACATAAATAAACACTGCTTATGTTGTAGGAAATGTACCAGATGATTATTTTCACAAACCTGTCACATTTCAAATACAAACTCCGTAATTAAAGTCTAACTAATTAAAGCTTAATAGAATGAGGAGGTAGAGAAAACAAAACAAGCCAAATAAAAAACGAACAAATCCTCTAGCTTACATCATAAAAAGTGCAGGGTTAAGTATAAGATGTTCCAAAATAATCGGCTGACCCTTTCTACATCAGACCAAACAGAATACCTCCATCTTTAATCTCTTCAAAATCAACCACGTTTTTTTAACATATAAAGTGTTTTTGAAGAGAGAGAGATAAAGCAAGAGTGAGGACCGAAGAGGGTTCCCGCTCTGTGTTATAATTATACAGCATTTAATCGGTTCTAGAAGAGCTCAGAATTGAACACCCAATTGTCACCTACAAATATAGAAACAGCGATGTGCATTCTAACCCTGCAACAAGAATAGGTGCTGCTTACCGACACACGCTCAAACACGCACATATACGTATAATCCTCTCTGAGCTTCTCGTTTGGCACGCACACTTGAATGAATTCAGCACTGCTCATTTAATTTCGTTTTCAGATGTAATGAAGCATAAATTATGAGCTGTCGTAATGTAATTCAGCTGCTCCCTACTGTAAAATAGTAAATCATTAGGCTCCTCCACCACCATTAGAGACCTCCAGCAACCTCCATTATAGTTACAGATTACAGTCTGTGAATCCTCTACAGCTATTGTTCCGGAATTGTGATGCAGTTCTTGAAATTTAGATTTCGTGATTTTCTGTAGAAGTTTATTATGAAAGAATGGCCTTTATGTAGCAAAAGTTTGTTAAGGGCTAACTTTTCTGTAGCTAAAACAGTAGAGCAAGACACTATAGCAACAGCAAAGTCATGGGTTCGATCCTCAGGGAATGCAGAAAAAATGTGATAACACTTTAGTATAGGGACCAATTCTCACTATTAACTAGTTGCTTATATACCTATTATTAACATATTGGCTGTTTATTAGCACTTATAAAGCACATATTCTACAACCCTAATCCTACCCAATACCTAAACGTAACAACTACTTTATGTGGCGAGTATCCCGAGTCCAGATTAGCGTCGCCCTGGAAACGCCGCTGCCACACTGATCACCGAAGCACAACACCTGTGCGTGATGAGTGGCGCACCTGGAGCTCGTTCCCGCTGGCCTTAAAAGCCAGGAGAAGAGACACCAGCGGGAAGGCACCCCGGAGCTCCAGGCGACATTAATGCTTGTTTCTCCTTGTTCACAGACTCCGAAGGCACCCCGGGAGAGGGATCTGCACCACGGCACTTCACCCCACGAGCACCACGCTGAGACGGGCACCGAGCACCATTCATCAGAGCACGTGTGATCAGTGTGTGGGAAATAAATCACCCTCCGGGGCTCTTTCGATCAGTACCGAGTCTGTGTTCTCATTCACCCCGCGACACTTACTATTAATAAGCAGCAGATTAGGAGTTTGAGGCAAAATCCGTAGGTTTGTTAATGGCGAGAATTGGACCTTAAAATAAAGTGTGACCAAAACTGTATATCTTGAGTGCAATGTAAGTCGCTTTGGATAAAAGTGTCTGCCACATGCATAAATGTATAAGTATTTGACTGCTTAGTAAGAAAGACTATATTTTTGTATCAAACAGTTCTGTTCTCAACTCTCTGGTTGTTTGGTTTACATTGATGGATTTTAGTGCATTTATGCAAAGCAACTTACATTGCATTCAAAGTACACATTTACATTTGATTAGTTTTTGCTTTTTGGAATTTAACCCATGACCCTCGTGTTGCTAGCACCATGCTTTACTGTTTAAGGGTTTATTGCAATAATGAATGCAATGCTTTCCTTTCAAAAGCATAATCTGACAAAACATTTCTCGCCATTTGTTTACAATCATTCAAATTAGTTCCCAAGACTCGAGAGGCATAGGGTTAAAACAAGAAGCACAAATGACCTCTGCAGGCTAGTGTTTAACATAATTGCATAGACCTCCACAGGTAGTTATTCTTGGAAATTTGTGGCACGAAACACCCCTGTCATTTAAAGCTCAGGTAAACTGGAGCAGCCTTTGGGTAAATAGGGGTGAAAACATTCTAGGTTAATTGACAACTGTACAAACCCCTGTGTTGTAGCCACAGGCTTAAGCATGTGTGTGCATGTGTAAGTGCAATTATCAGGCTTATGTAAGAGCATAAGTGGCCCAGGAGCGGTTAGGCATGCACTCCTTTCTCTGTCCTTTTCTAGATCAGTGGTCCATGCGGGACATTAATGCATAGAATTCAATTAGAGAGTGTTGGGGATCTTTCCAGTCTAGAAGATTCTCATACTTAAAAAAAAAAAAATGCAATGTGACAAAAACAGCAACGTCACTGAGTTTAAAGTTGGAAATGCATTGCATACTAGTGGGAAAAAGTGATTTGTAACTGTGCCACTACTTTTAGTTACTCCATGAAACGTGTTTATGTTTTTCCTCCCTCTTTTCATCTCTCATTTTATCTCCTCTTTCTTAATAAATGAGATGATTGAATAATCCTACCTGTTGAGACTCATTCTCACCCCTTGTGACTCACGTATCCACTTTTCCCAGATTCCCACCTGCAGTCTGAAATGGGGTGGTTTTTATGTGGAGCTTTTTTTAGTTGCTTTTTCGCCGTAAGCTTCTTGGCGCAGGTCTGGATTTGATTTTGCCACTGTCCTGTTCATTCAAGGCAGGCTGATGTTACCTGACTGGTCGTGAGTCACAAGACCCTCTATGCCTCATATGTTCTCAGAGGTCTTCAATAGAATGAAGGGATTTTAATTCTACTCCAGGTGAGCAGTTAGTCATCTGTCAGATGTGTAGGCGCATCCTGTATTACAGAAGGGAGAATAATATTCTCATTTTAAAGGAAAAAATAATTGTAGGATTAGAGTGGGTGTGATTTTGTGCTACCGTCTGACTTTACGTGACTATGAAACTCCTGTC